ACGTTGAAAAATAAATCCGACCTCACGTTGTGTCAGTCACGTTTACACACTGCCTCCGAAACTTTCGTCCGTCATAAAAAAATTCGGACCAGGTTCGATTTTCTGAGTTTTCGCATCCGTAGCAAGCATTTTGATAGGAAAGGATAACGAATATGAAAAAAAAAACAGAATAACGCATACGAAAATTTCAGACTCGGTGTGCAAGGACCTTTACTGTTTTTTTTTCTGTCACATTTAAAAAAAAAAAAAGTGTCACATGTGACATAGTAATACAATTTCATAAATACCTTCAAAGTCAAAGAAGTAAGGTAACACAGTGACAAAAAATGGTACACGTGGTCTTTAAATAAATGCACAAAAAAGATCAGAAATCATTAAGCTGTCATTTATGTGTATTCATAAAGTCAAAAGGTAATCTAACAATGTGGTATAAGTTTAAATGTTAGAAAAAGAAATACATTTTAAGACATCTTGCCATACCAAAAGCGGACATTTCTGTAGAACGAACCTTCACATCAAAGTCAACTGTTATTATATTACTTCTTAATTATAAACGCAACTAGTTTTCAGAGAAAGTTGCTAAAGGAAGGTCGATTTGTTGCTAAATGACGTTGTTGTGATGTCATTGCGCGATCATGACGCAAAATTGTCACAACATCAAATCTAAGCAAAAAATATATTTTATATATGTTAATTTAGATTTGTTTGTAAAATAATATGCGTAATATAATATTAAAATATAAATAACTGTATTTTTAAATACATTGAATTATTGAACACATTTTTGAATGATTACAATTTAAGCTTTTTTTAATAGCTAGTAAACTAGTAATACTACACATTCTCAACAATTATACTTTAAGCAGTGTATTAGTAGTTAGTTAGTATGCTACACTCTAAGAAAAGTCTCTAAAAGTAGGGCACAATCTACTTTGTTAATATGAAAGAATTTTACGTATTGTTTTTTTACCTGCCTTTTAAATAACGCATTGTTTTTTTCGGGTTACAGGGTTATAATGGATAATGCCCTGGAAAATTACTAGTATCTTTTCCATTTTTCTTACAGTGTACTAACTGATCAACAATCGCAGGTACAAGCTACTAACAAAGCGTATCATAAATGAACAATTATTCAATTATTATTATTATGATAATTATTCGTGTCACTAGTTAAAATTGCTTATTTCTCTGGATTTAAACATTCTTCGAAACATTTGAGATAATGTAAGTACACAAGTCAGCAAAATATATAACACTGTTCTAGTGGTTTTTGGATATTTTAATAAAATAAATCTTACATATTGTGCCTTTAAATGGAACAATTGCAAACAGCAGCTAACTCAATTCACATGATTTGTGTACTGCTAGGCATCTGTGGTTTCCTCTTTTTGTGTAATTTGGATGGAAAATGAGTGCCTTTTTATTGTCCGAGTCACTTATTAAAAGCTGCTAAAAGTTGCCGTATAAGTTTTAAAAATGGCTAAATTTGTTGCTAAGTGCTTTTGGGAGAGTTGCTAGGGTAGTCTGAAAAGTTGCTAAATTTGGCAACAAAATTGCTAAGTTGGCAACACTGTAAATCCGCTTTGAAGCAATCACATACAGGGTGGGTTTCCCCCTTCTGGTCTATGTATCCCATAAATTATGTTTATCCTCAGTGGGGATAAAAATATAAAAATATCCCCCCGGGTGATGCTACTCCACCAACCACCAACAGAGCATCTAAAATACCAAAAATAAAAGTATTTTTTAAAACATCAGCAGGTAAAACATTGAAATACGACAATACAAACAACAATAAAATCAGAAATGGACTTTAACTGTCAGCGCTTCTGTTTAATAGAGACCGTCTGGGTTTCGTGATCCTGGTTCACGCACCATTAGTGTATTTCAGAGTGACAGTATGAGATTGTGCGAATTATGATCACGCAATATTGACTGATGGATCGGCAGAGAATCGTCTTTCTGTGAGTCATTAGGAAATTATGGTTCTATTCTCTTTAAAGAAATATGAGGCAAATGTGTGAATACATAATGTGCGCACTTTTGGAGTAAACGTTTGTATGATGTGTAGCGAAGCACTGATCAACAATAAATGGAAGCAAGCGCAATTTAATATGTACAGGTTCAATTGCCAATATATCATAAATAGTGGTCAAATATCGAAGCTATCTAATCTCAAGGTCATATCAGAATATTTATTGTGAACACTCAGTTCAAGGCGGTGGTTCATACAGTGCCAAATAAGTACATCGGGAAACAGTTGAACAATCTTTGCTGCAACACTAGCATAACGGAGGCACCACCTGAAGCAAAACAAACAAAACGTTCTTTTAGAACAGCTTCGGAAATTGTTGAAATCACGGTCACATTTACAGACTGTGGTTATGAGTTTATGAATCATATGTCAGCATGAATAGGGAGCGCTTATAAGTCACTTTTATAAATGTCTTTGGAAATGAGCATCTGCTAAAAGCCTTAAATGATGTAGATCAATTTAAACATGAGCTGTTTCATAATCATATTGTTCACATGTTTTGATTTACTGTGGTTTTGTACAGGTCAGTTTGAGATTGAGAAACCAGAATGTCTCACACTGTCGTACCCATGAACTCTTCAACGCTCGTCATCCAGCTGCAGCCAGCAACACAAACAGCACCTCCTGTGCCTGTTTATGTACAACAGGTGGCGGGAGCTTCACCTCTTCAAGGACTTCAGGCATTTCTGAAAGGACAACCGAAAGCCCTTGGGGTGAGAAATGTCTCATAAACTCAAATATAAGTATTACAAGTAAATAGTGCACTATAAGTAAATAGTGCAGGTCACTGTGAGGTAAGAAAAGTACTTACATTTTTTTCTAGTACAATCATAAGTCCATAACTACAGCTGCCATATTGTATATTTTAAATTGTTCCCCTTTATGAAAGAGTCTCTCGTGCTACTCACACTTTCTGCGTTCTTTTTGTCCCTCACAGACGGTCCAGATAATGATCGGTCTGCTAACTCTCCTGTTTGGCATTGTGTCTTCAGTTTATGCAGAACCCATCTTTGTCTTTAGTGGTCTTCCTTACTGGGGATCTCTCATCGTAAGAAACTACTATACAATTAAGTTTTCTGTCTTTTATAATACAAGCTACATATTCCAACCCAAGCTTTAATCCTGGCCTTTCTCTCTTTTCTCAGTACATTACCGCAGGCTCACTCTGCATTGCTGCAGAAAATAAAATGAATTCCCCCTCCAGTGTGTGCTTGGTATGTACTACACAACACTTTACTTTTAAAGGTCCAAGCACCGTGCACTTTCAGTCTGATTTATGTGCCCCCAGACCACGATTTGGTAGTTTTTGTTTCTAAACAAAGCAGCGCTGCGCTTATAAACCCTACTTTAATATGCATTATACAGAAGCAAGGTGAAAAGAAAACACCATCTAAACTTTTCTGAAGAGCTAACAAGGCAAATTTTCATCCTCTGCTGTCTAAGCTTAAAAAAAAAATCAAGTTTTGCAGAATGCTTCCTATTTCTCTTCTGGTTAGGTTAAATGCAATTAAAATGACATTGTCCCCTTTTACACCAGTATATCTGCTGTAAGCAAAAAAAATAAAAATCTGGGAAGATTGACCGGACTTTGCTGTAAAACCACATTATATTTAAAAAGACAAGTTTTTATTGTTTCACTATTTTATTATCCACATGAGCCACTGGTGCTTGGACCCTGATGACTGCTGCTTAATGAGGCTATGTTTCATTATTTATGTGAAGTATAGTGTATTTTTATCACACTCCATATACTTTTCTATATACATTAACGTGTTAACACAATGTTTTAAAGTTTTTGCTAATTTATTAACCTGTTTTATGTTGTTTTTCTGCCTGTAGGTGAATGCGTCACTGGGAATGAACATTTTCAGTATTATAACCGCAGGCATTGCCATTATTTTACTTTCACTGGATTTGGTTATAGGTCCACGCATGTACTGCTGGGGTTATGACTGTAATTATTTAGACAGAAATTATGAGGCAAGTCTTCAACTTTTATATTCACTAGGGATGCACCGAAATTGCATTTTCGGTTTTTGTTCAAAAGAGAAAAATGGCTGAAACATTAGCAATGAAAAGGACAGTTATTTATGCATTTATAAGAGTTTCCATTTCAGACACAAAATTATTTAAATGAATCACACAACATGATTTTATTAAGGTTTGCACCAGTCAATTTACTGATATTTTTGCCATAATTTAATGCCCAAAAAGCATGTCTTAAATGTGTTACATTATCATATAAACTTGAAGAATGGTAGATTCTGGACTGCTGAGCAGACGGTGTACCAGTGTGAGCACTAATTATCATTGATTCTGTTCTGATTATTTGTGTTAATGTTGATTGTTCTCTCAGACTCTCTTCAGGGGAATCAGAGGTGTGTTGCTGTTATTCGCCGTGCTTGAGTTTATCATCTCCATCTGTCTGTCAGCATTTGCCTGTAAAGCCAACGGCTGCTGTTGTCCTCCTCAGGTGAGTAACGAGCCAAATCAGGAGTGCTCAAACTTCTCTCGAGTTCAATGTAAAATTCTCGAGTAAATAAAGTGAACTCCGCACACATTATGTTCCCAAACATTAAACCTGCAGCACTTGCAGAGATGGAGTTCATGAGAAGCATTTTTACTGTGAACTGAGTTGCCCTAAAAACATATTGCATAAAATGTTTTGGTCAAGATAATTAGGTTACACTTGAACTTGAGGCCTGAGTGTTTTCTCCCCTGATAGAACTAAAAAAATAATTCAACAAACAATAATTCAACAAACCTGCTCACACATTTGTACTCTCAGAAGAAGTTGTTGTTTATATAGTATGTCAATATGTGCTCTAAAACGACATATTATGCTATACTTAATCGTGAAAAATCACAGCTACTTTATGCAGGCTGTGTGCATTTTACTGTGGACTGACTGTTTTGAAACTTATATGGTAGTTAAATAGCCGCTAGACCTCAGTTAGCGTGAAAAAAGCCAGGAAATTTCCGTTTTGACAATATGGGACCTTTAATATTTTATTTCAAGACATTTGTCAGGTCTTTGTTGTTAAAACACCCTTTCTTGTAGAACTAATTTCTTATGCATCCCTAATTCTAACACTACATGTGTATTTTTTCCAAAGGTGCAGTTTGCTCAGGTTTTATTACCACAGTCCTCTGATTTCAGACCCATTCGTTTCCAGGATCTTAACAGCTCAGAGGTAAGAGAAGCTTGTAACCCAAAATTAGTTGGAAAAAAAATACAAAATTTTGAATTTAGTGTTGAGAGTCCATGGGTCTCGTTTATAAAATGTTGCGCAGAAACCCTCCTAAATTTGATCTTACGATCATCTCTCACGTGTGATTCATAGAGTGAACGTACGCACAGAAAACGCTCGTATTCCTCTCTTTCTGAAGTGAAATCTATGAATCGTAAATGATCTTGAACTTGCGTGCAACTGAATGGTTTCAGCTCTCTGCCTCGTAAACGACTCGTAATTAATGTCATTAACATATAAAAGATCACCAGTCATCGTCCAAATCCTTTCATCTAGAACGGCGAGCTGCAAGAACAGCTTACATTTCCAAAAACCTGTAGTCTTGTCAGGACAAAAACTTGTCTTGTACTCCAACAAGAAGTACGTACGTCTGCTCAGACCCTGACGTGACGCTAAGCACTTTTCCACGTCTAAGGCAGTTTTTACAAATATGAGCGCTGGCGTGGATTTAAGCGTACGCACACTCTAAGATCGAATCTGTGCGTACGCACGCTTTATAAATGAGGCCCCATGTATTGGAAATGTGTGAAGCACTCAGTAATGAGTGCAATAATTGTTACATAATATTATCAATAAATAAGCAATCAAGCAAGAAAGCTCATCATATAGTTTTGTTATTCTTGCAGATACCTGTGGCCAGCAGCTCTTGCATTTATCACCCGCCTGCAGACGCTCCTCCACAATACAGTGAATACAAATAAATATGAATAAGTGGACAGTGTTGCCTTATGAAACAAAAATATATATGGGAACGTATTGGAAAATATAATGCAATATATTAAATAATACACGTCCATACATGGGAAACTATACTGCAGTATATTCATGGGCCATGTGTGGCTATACATTGATACATATAAAAAATACACTTCAAAAGTGCACTGCATTTTTACATGTAATGGCTTTATTGAAAAACTCAATTTCTCTTTTAAGAGTTAATGCTTGGGTTTGCATATAGCTGAACACGTTCATAAACTTTTCTATCACTTTGTTTGCTGAGTTACACATTTCATATATGAAAATATTCGTGATGTATAAGAGAAAACTGCACTGAAAACAAATATTAAAGTTTTCTGTTTTTGGACTATTGGATGTCTTGTTAAAATCATTTAACAAGTTTATTTTCATATTATTTATTTCGGTTGAAATGTATTTTATCACATGTATATATATATATATTATAAATATTATTATTGAATAAATACGTTACATTATATAAGTAAATATATTGTCACATTTTTCAATACATGAAAAGCATCAATTCCTTATGTATCATTAATATCTTGTAATATATTAACACATTATTCAGTATATTTTCAATGTACATTAAACAATTTAATATATTGATTGTTAATGTACAAGACGAGATGTTTTCTTTGCGTAAGGGTTGTGGTCCTGCGGTCGTGTGTGATGCTTTCATGCGACACATTTGTTGCAATCCGCAAGATCTCGAAAATTAAATGGAATGTAAACAGGTTGTAAATAAGAATGCACACTGCAAATGTAAAAGCTGTTAGTTATCAGTACATGAATATTCATCACAGTTAATCAAGCGCATAATAGAGTTCCAAAGGTTGTGTGTAATTAACAAAATGTTACTTTCATCAGTGGTGTATAAAGTACCTGAAAGCCATACTCAAGTAACAGTACAGATATCTTACCAGAAAATGACTTTGGTAGAAGTTGAAGTCACCGTTTAGAATATTACTTGATTAAAAGTCTTAAAGTATGTGATATTTATTGTACTTAAGTACGAAAAGTATTTTTTAAATCTTAAACGTACTTAAGTATTGAAAGTAAAAGTACAAGTAAATGCAAAATTTTTATATCTTTTCATGTGACAACACTGAAGAAATGACACTTTTGACAACACTGAAGAAATGAGTGTACAGCTTGTATAACAGTGTAAATTTGCTGTCCCCTCAAAATAACTCAACACACAGTCATTAATGTCTAAACTGCTGGCCACAAAAGTGAGTACACCCCTAAGTGAAAATGTCCAAATTGTTAATTTCCGTGATGCCTTTTAGGTTATCCTTCAGAAGGTTTGTTCCTTATGGCATTTCTAATACTGCCATAATGTATGAATGTAAAACACCAGCACTTCTTTTTTCCACTTCAAACACTGCTTAACCGTAATAATATGCTTTAATTGCAGTTAGTTTTAAGTCTCAAAATAACAGCTACGATGGTGTGTGGTTACTTTCCAATCAGAATTTTGGTCACAGAAAATGAAATTTGAATGAAAGAAAAACTTTTAGAAAAACAAAAGATAATATAGCTCATGGGGTATGTTTTCCAACAGCATTGTTAGCCAACTGTAGTCGCGAGTTTCATTGTTACATACATACATAGACGATTCAGTCTCCTGTACCCAGACTTCTAACTTACAAACAGCATGGCAAACATAGGTGCTTGGAACTATAACTAGCCTACAACTATGACTGGTGGTGAGAAGCATAGTTTTTTGTTAGTAAAACATGTGGACTTAAATAAATCAGGCTCTTGGGCACAATAAGAAGCTAACATGCACTACAATCTATATCCTCCATTCCATTTAAATATGTATCAATTTTTAAGAGTGCGCGCGTGCATAAATGCATAAGTGAACCCCGGACTATGACATAACAGGAAACCTGCGGTAAATCAAACATCAAATATAGAAAAATAACAAGGAACAACAAATAATTTAAGTAGTCATCAAGTGCCATGTTCAATTCAGCAGCATCTCTGTGATCTCGAATCGATGATTTATGCTGCATTCTAGATAAATTTGGATTTTTCCCTCCTCCTACTTGGAAATAATGTGTGTAGGAACACTGCATGAAGTCGGACATCCGACCTGTGAACTATTTCAGTACAGTATATATTTAAGTACAGTAACTAATTACATTTACTCAAAAACAAGGAAGGAAAAATAAGGAAACAAGTGATGTTTTGCCCCATTCAGCTACCTTGCTGAATGGCTTAACTCTAGTTAGAAGGCGCACTATGTGTCTTTAACAAATAGATGTGCATTGCAAGCTGATGAAATAAGAAAACCCCAGCAACCACCTGAGCCTGAACCACCTATCATGGTTTAAAATCATTTGATTATTGTTATTGACATACCCCTTTATCCTCTTACTGATAACGCAGCCATTGCCATGTAACAGTTGCATAAATGCTACTGCTTATGCACTTAGTGCTTCACTCCTGCATTAAATGTAAGACCGCTAAACATAACATTAAGTTTAAATCTTGTTTATGATTGCTCATTTTTTAATTAATAAGGCAGACCAGGCAATATGCACAGCTGGTATGATGTGAAAGACTTATTTTAGATGTTGATTTCAGATGCTATCTGAATAAGTATTAAGATGGGCTTTGGTTGATCGGATCACAACTGGACGACACTAAATACAGGTGTAAACGGGGTGTAAAACATTTTGAGCTTGTCCACTTTTGACCACATCCAGAAGTAGTCGAAAACGACTGCGTCCGTGGTATAGACGCTCATGTGGTCGAAAATATTCAAAGAGCCGCTTAAAGGGTTAGTTCACCCAAAAATGACAATTCAGTCATTAATTACTCACCCTCACCTTAATTTGTGTTCCAAAGATGAACGAAGGACTTGGGGGTTTGGAACGACATGAGGGTGAGTAATTAATGACTGAATTTACATTTTTGGGTGAACTATCCCTTTAAGACTGCCTACTCTAAGCCTAATGACACAATAAACATTATGGGGAGCGCGCTAGTCAAGACGGGATTTAAACTTTGCCGATAAGTTTGGTTTGACGAGGAAAAACGTGCTAAGCACAATGTTTTCTAAACATTTCTGTTTTCTAACAGTCACTTGCCGCGTTCAGCGTGGTCTCGCAGAGCAGAAATTAAAGCTGATGCTCTGTATGTTTTCCTGTGGTCCTGGCTCTTCAAAGCTTTATAATGGCAATGAACAGGGTGAGATTTTGAAGGCCAAAAAAGTGCATCCATGGATCATAAAACGTACTTAATGAAAGCCTTCCGACGCGAATCGTGGCGTTTGTGTAAGATAAATATCCATATTTAAAACTTTATAAAGCAAAACAATGAGTTTCCGGTGCGATGGTCTTGCACATTCGATATTCGTTAACTTCCGTGACGTAGTACACGATGCCATGACGAGCTATGCATTCTTTCCGTGTCAGCTGCGGAGCACCTCATTGCATTGTGTACTATGTCATGGAAGTTTTAAAAAAGAATATTTATCTTACACAAACACTGGTTAGGATCAAAAGGCCTTTATTAGCCCCCTGGAGCCGCGTGAAGTACGTTTTATGATCCACGGATGCACTTTTTGGCATCTCATCCCCCATTCACTGCCATTATAAAGCTTGGAAGAGCCAGAATAAATGTTATTATAACGCCGATTGTGTTCGTCTGAAAGAAGAAAGTCATATACACCTAGGATTGCTTGAGGGTGAGTAAATTATTGGGTAATTTTCATTTTTGGGTGAATTATCCCTTTAAGGACATAGCAGCCTGCGCCATCTAGAGTTTCATGCCAGAACTTTGTATTAAAAATAGTTTCCACTATAAATGTGATGTGGACACATGCGTTTTTGATTACCTCTGTGTGTGCTTTTGGTGATCATCAGATCACAAACGTTTCTGACCGCTTCCACCTGTATTTATCGCTGAACAGAGCAGATCACAAAAACACATCTTAACGCCAGCTGAAAAAAAATAAATTAATTAATAAGACATTGAATAATTTTTAGATATAACATGTGATTCTAATAAATTCACTGCAGATTTCCCCCCCCATTTTCAGGGATCAGACTTTGGAATAATGAGGAGATGAAGAAGAATATTTCCTCTCGTAACCAAATTAACACAAGATTCAATGTCACAGCTTCAGACTCCATTAAGGACAAATCTAAGTTACTAAATATTGGTGGTGAATTGAAACTGAGTCTTTTAAGTGGACTCATCAGTGTTAGTGGAGCAGCAAAGTATCTCAATGACACCAAGAACTCTTTCAAACAGGAGAGACTGACTCTACTCTATCATTCAACCAGCAAGTTTGAGGAATTGATCATTAACCGATTGCCCAGCATGCAAAATATTTCTGATGATGACGATATAGCCACACATGTAGTGACAGGAATACTGTATGGGGCAGATGCCTGTTTCATTTTTGACAGAAAATTTTCAGTAGATGAGGACAAAACCACAGTAGAAGGAGAATTAAAAGTGGCCCTTGAGAAACTAAAGGGTGTCGTTTCAATAGATGGAAATGTTAATCTGAGCATGAACGACAGTCAGAAAAATGCAGTCAAAAACTTCACATGTACATTCTATGGTGACTTCCGGCTACCATCTAACCCAACCTCTTTTGAAGATGCAATGAATGTTTTTGCTGATCTTCCAAAGCTGCTGGGAGAAAATAAAGATCTGGCGGTTCCTCTGAGAGTCTGGCTTTATCCTCTGGACAAACTTCACTCAAGTGCTTCAAAACTTCATAAAGACATCAGCATGGATCTAATCATGAGAATTGAATCAGTGGTCGAGAGTTTAAACACAGCTGAGATGAAATGTAGTGACTTTCTGGAAGACACTCCCGCTCAGACGTTTGCTGCATTTCATGATAAAATTCTGCAAATGCAGAAAAACTGTGACTCGTACAAGTTGAGACTCATGAAGGAACTCGGCTCTCTGCTGCCAAACATCCGTGGAGACGTGATGAAGGAAACTGCACTGAATGCACTTCTACAAGAAAATGATAAATCTCCATTCAGAGGAAGTGATCTTGCAGAATGGCTGGAAGAGAGAGAAAGAGAGTCTGAGATCATTAAATCAGTCCTTGGACGGCTGAAGGCTTATGGTGCACAGATAGAAGACAACATAGATGCCATCTGGATGGGCCTGGAAGTTGGAAACCTGGTGTGTTACACGTTCACATCATTGGACTGCTTAGATGTGCTTCTTTCTAAACAAGCTTACTATCTGAGTCCTTCGACAATAGGAGAAACTGATCAGAAGATCCCTGATTCAAAACAAAAGTCTTGGCTAACTCCTGAGATCAAAAAGAGCATGAAGAGAAACTTGAAGAGATTTAAG